ATGTGGTCATCTCCCAAAATGGCAGCCTGCTGAGAGAAATCCATGTCCTGCATAAACGTCATGCTGCGCTTCAAAGCTAACAGCCGCTCCTGTGAACAGAGCACAAATAGAGCAACACAGCACCCATTTACTCCTCCTGCGGAGGTCTTAGGCAGGCCATGAGGATGGGAGACACGGGACATCCAACACGGGATGGATTGAAATTAAGAAAGTGATTGGATGGTGCAAATACTCGTCTCTGAATGCACAGAGCACTCGAGAAAAATCTCACTAATGCAATAAAATAACAGTGTGGTGATTAAAGTCTGGGATCTTTGTCCCATCTAATACTAAAAACAAACAGTTTTAGGATTTTGGAAAAATTATTAAATTAGGAAAAAATTAATAAATTCTGCTCTACTATTTCTAGGCCACAAAGAACAAAATCTATACAATTAAGTATCATCTTAAATTCTATTTTAATGTACAGAATATAATATAATATTATTTATTGCAACTACATAAGATATATTATACCCTATTATATATTCAATAATTTAAATATATTTAACAGACTTTTCCACCACTTTTTTATATTTTTAATTTTTTTTAAATGAATTTATAAATTTTTATTAAACTATATTTGATTAATTTTGTCTTATGAAAGTTCCAGGCTTTGCAATCACAACTTTAAAATTCCCTAATATTTCAGATGATGTGAAAAAGACAGCTTCCATTCATGAACAAAAAATGCTCTTTGTAACATTCCCAAATCATATCGACTATTATCCTGATCATATCATTTGTAATGGAAAATACTGTATTTAATTTAAAAAGTACACAATAAAAACATTTTTACTAGTTTAATAGTTTTTGTATATATTCTGAATCAGATTTGATCTTTTATATTTTCTGTTTTAACTTTAATTTTAGTAAAAGTTTAGTAATTTTGTTGTGTTTTTGTCATTGCTATTATTTATATATTTTTATTTACTAGCTTTAGTTTATTTCGTTTGAGTTATTTTAGTTAAACTAAATGAAATTGAGAAATGTCGCATTGGCAGCTAGCTGAAATAAAATAAGTTTTAGTTATTAAAGTTACATATATTTTATGTCAACTAACAAAAAAATTTTTTTTTAATGCTTTTAGTTTTAGTTAACTATAATAACCCTGTACCCAAGTTTTATTTAGATTACTATAACCACACGCATCCGAATCGAATGGGAATGATGGCACGGATGAACAACAAAGGCAAAAAGCAACCAAACTGCATTAAAAATGTTACTTTGCTCATCATTTTGAATCCTGTGTGGAGAAGTTTCTTAGCGGCCTTGTAGTAAACCGTCTCCGGTCGGTTATAAACCATGGCGTTGTCACACATCAGCTTGAAGTCTGCCTGGAGAGTCACACATCAGATCGAAATCAGTTACACTTTTATAGTTAAAAGTCTTTTTATTAAAGCCTAATATGAAGACAAATGAAGATAAAAAGAGCGGGACACTTGCGTACCTTGAATTCTGTGATAGTTTTGTATTCGTTTGCATCGATTTTGTCCTTCATTGTGCTAAAGTCCATGGGATGTTTGATTATCATGGAGTATCCTGGAGCAATGGCGTCTGTCACCGGGAAGGCAAAGAATCCGTGTGCATCTTTCCTGTCGAGACAGAAAGACTGTCCTTATATAATGCAGATATGAGGAAAGATTAGAATTACAACGCCATCTGCTTTTTCAGAGGCTCACCTCTGTAGCAAACGCAAGAAATGCTCCAAGAGCTGCTGGCGAGGGGTGCATTCGTTTTCTAGGAAAGAAACAAAAGGACAGACATGAAAATCACTTGTAAGTCATTTGTGATTTGTTTTGATGGATACCAGGGCTGTGCATCATTCAGAACTGAACTGAGAATGCCTTTTAAACAGCTGTTTAATTCATGAATTTGAAACGGAATTTATTTGAATTTAAGGAATCGGAAACTGCTGAAAGCGTAGATTTTACAACACTTTGTTCGAAACGGAGCCAAAAAAAACGTATATTTTATCTAAATATATAATTTAATGATTTTTATTTCCAATATTTCTTTTCATGGCAACACTACAATACGGTTTTATTTTTTATTTATTAGTCGACTGCATTAGTTAAAATGAACGAATAATGAAAAATATTTCTAAAGCATTTATTAATCTTTATTTTAATTTTGACATTTACTAGTACATTACTAAAATCAAACATCTGTTAATGTTATTTAATGTACATGAACTAACAATGAACAGTTGTGTTTTATTAACTGTATTTAATGGTTACAAAGATAATAAATATTGTATCAAAATGTATTGGTACTTGTCAGTTAATGCATTAAATAACATGAACTAACTAGACCTTGTTGCAAAGTGTTACCTATTAATTTGAATTTAAGTGAAAACTGCTGTAAGTGTAAATTTTAGTATGCTTTGTTCAAAATAGAGGCAAAAAACACTAATGCAATCATAACTCAATATATCATTTTTCAATAAATCACTTTTCAACAAGGTTCCATTAGTTAACTATATCAGTAAACAAATTAACAATGAAAAATACTTTTAATGTGTTATGTTAATTTCAGCATCTACTAATACATTATTAAAATTAAAAACGTTGTATCTGTTAATATTAATGTACATTAACTAACATTGAACAGTTGTTTTTATTAAAGCTGACATATCATGAAAATCTGACATTTCCAGGTTTTAAGTGCTATAATCAGGTCTCCGGTGCATCTACCAACCAAGGAAACGTGAAAAAGATTAACCCAGTAACTTTGTT